CGGGGCCGCCCGGGCGCCAGCGCCGCCTGGGCTCCTGGAGGAGCCACTGCGACCGTAGGTCCCACGGCGACGTGGTGGGATGGAGGCCCGTCAGAAACAGTAATGCCTCAGTCCCGATCAGCCTTAAGCCGGTAAGTAGTGTCCTCAAAGGGCAAAAGCTTAAGGAAATAGAGAGGGTTTACAGGCACGGGGCGAATGGCTGAGAGAAACGAGGCGAAGGCTTTCAATTGACTTGAAAAACTAGGCCTTGGAGTAGTTCGCACTTCCTGAGGTTTCATAGCACTGAGGTTCTTTGCAGCGCGACAAGATGTAAATGTTGAATAGCTACCTTGGACCCCGAAGTTTTCCCGAGTACTGCTGAAGGGACTGTATTTACAGCCCCAGGGATCAGCACGGGGTCAGGAACCAAGGACTCTGATTTGTAATCGTAATACTGCTGCTGACCTGCCAGCTGGCCTCTGAGAAATCTCCTTATCTCAATTCCACATCAAGGCATGTTGATAACAAAAATAATTTTAGGTCTTTAATCAAACATGTCATGCTCCAAGTTGTTTGAATTTGTTCTAGTAGACTTCAAAGGGGAGGAGTATGTAGAATTTTAATTCGTTTTTGTTATAGAGCTCTTCCATTTTAAGGCTTTTAAGTACCTCATTACCTGAAAAAAAAAGATATATTCAGGCAAGACAGCAAAACCTTGAAAAAGTCCTTTGAACAGACATTTAACTTTAGGAAGCATTTTATTTTATTTTGTTAATTTTTAAGTTTTAGCAGAAGAAAGCTGATGACACAGGTTGAGAAATTTTGTAAGAATGATGTTTGCATGTAACATGGAGAATCCTGCTCCTATTCATAACCCTTCTTGTGCTAGGTTATATTTGGCAAATACCCATATACCTGCACATGCTTCTGGCAACTTCCCCACTTTATTTTCTATTTGAGCATGTACATAATGCCTGTGAGATGTGGCTCACCGTAACTGAAATGATGTTTAGAGGCAATTAAACCAGTGGGATGCTGGAATATGTCAACCGACAAAACCAAAAATTCAGTTGAGGTCTACACAGACATAGCTGGGCCATAAGTTCATCCTGACGCCAGGCTGCAGTCAGCAGAGAATAGGTCAGCCAGCCAGCTGATTACACTAAAACTGGGGCAGAACACAAGCTGCAGTATAGCCAGACAATATACAAGTCTGCCCTCCCTCTCCTTTCCTTCCTCGTGACCAAACACACAAGCAAAACCGGGACACCTTGTAACTCTAGCCTCCTTTTCCATACGGATTTAATCAGTATTGCTCATCAGTGATTACCATCTTAGGCAATGGAAGTGTAAGGTCCACTAATGTGGCTATTTCCTAGCAGAAGGCATTTTGAACCTAAAATCATGATGTTCACCTCCTATTTGTTTGCCTTTTGCTCCCTCAGTATACTTACCTGTTTTATTGTACGAAGTATAACTCTTGTTAGGAATGTGCTTTACCTAAAAGCTGCTTTACTGGTGAAATATTAATAAACTACTGAGGTTTTTCAAGATTTAACCTCCAATGAGCTTGATGGCTTATAAAAAAGATTTAGGATCCATTATGTCAGATCATTTCAGCATTTTAAGTAGAAAGTACTCAGGTACCAATTACAAACAGTGTCATTTTCAGATCAGTTGTAATACCAGCATATATACAAAGCTGTCTTACCAGACATTGCATTTTTGCTGTAGTGTCCATGGAACATAATTTCAGAACATTTTTAGGAAAATCTGATAAGAGAGACTAGAGCAGATTATATTGTTATCTTAAGTTTCTAAATGGGATGTTTTAATTTTTTTTTTTACCTATCACATTCTAAAGTCTCACAAGGGCTAATATGTAAAGCTGGAAAACAATTCCTCTGGTTTCACTGGTATCCACTGGTATTAAATTAGCTGATCTAATTTCATAGGCATTCTTGCATTGGCAATTGCATGTGTGGCTGGCATATACACTGCTGTTTGCACCCTCACACATACAGGTTACCAGGACTGTCAGTAGAGAAATAGTTGTGTGGTTATATAGCATTGTTCATGACTGTTCTCAGCATCTGAAGCAGTCCTTGGGACCAAAGACAGACAAGTTCAAGTTAAGGCAAACATTATTCTTTACTCCAGTTGCTGCATTTTTCCACAGTCCTGGGGGTACGTAAGGCACCTCTTCCTCCCCCAGAAGGATGACATTCCTTACCCAAGGGTCAGCATATTCACCCCATTGATGGCAATTTTTAAACTGCCTTTCAGTATTGTCTTTACAAAGGGTGGTTCAATATCCATTTAGGACAGAGCTGAAGTCATCATGTGCAAAATTCCAGGGGCATATGAGTCTGATTGACCCAGTTATCAGGACTGGAGGTGGCAGGAGGTTGTAAGGATGAACACTCAGACACAGTGTTTCTGGCACTCAGAAACTCTGTGACCAAAGATCAAGGGTGCAGAGGATTGTTTTACCCGCTTCCAGTTTCCTACTAAGAAAGGCAAAACCGAAGCGCTGTGAGTGTACATGTGTCTGCTCTCTTAAAGCTATAGCTGACTGCTGGAGATCGCTCAAATGGATATAGAAAATGTCTTAAGGCCAAACTAGATGTAAGGTTATCTATAAAGCATTTTTCATTTCTTCATCTGCAATTTAGATTACTTTTTCAGTATATTCTGCTAAAAAGTAGAGCTTATCTCACTTGTACTTAAAATTTGTATAGCATTACAAGTGATTTCAGAAAGAATGGAAAATCTGAGAAAATCTATTACTTGGGAATGCCAATCCTAAACCAAGCATACTAATTTAGTCTATTACTGTAGTATAAATGTTCCGGCACAAGAACATTCTACATTCAGCTAGGCTCTAGCGTTTTGCTTCAGGGCCTAGTATGTAGGCTGGGAATACAGGAGACTTTATTTTGGAGAAAAGTCTCCCCATAGCAAGAATTAGCTGGAGATACATGTGACAGTAAGATGGGAGAGAGAAGGCTGGATGGAGAGTCAGAGGTCCCCTCCAGAATAAATTATTAAAAACCAAAATTTTTTTTGCTAAAAAATTAAGAGTTCGACTGCCTTTCATGTTTCTTGTATGCCAGAACATACAATTGTTAACCTAATGGACCCAAAATACTTTTTCAGGTTGTTTTCAAAACCAGATTGTGCTGTATTGAAAAATAAACCCTTCCGAAGTGATGCAAAAATTATGTCAAATGAAACACCAAAATATTATTGCATTAATAATAAGTCTTTGTGGGATCATATTTCAGCATTGCGGAGGTTATTTCAACATTTTTCTCTCCACTTCAGTTACTGCTTATGAGAAAAAGAAAACATTACTTTGTTTAAAGAAAAAAGATTCAGGTCACTAGATAGATAGAAATGATTGCAAAATTAGCTTTTTGGATGTTTTATGTGTGATTAGAATACTTAGCAATAGAATGACTTCATTCCTTTTTATCGCATCATTGCATAAATTATTTTGCACATACAGATCACAGTGCAGATCGCATCACTGTAATGATTAACTTCAGATTAAAAACAAGGTCCACCATTATTTCACAATTCAGTTTGGCTTACATGCTATCCTGTGAGTTGGAGATGATTATACTAAGTCAGTTCTTGGTTTCATTTATATGCATCTGGTAAAAGCTTTGTCCCCATGCAGATGTAACATCTACTATATTGAACAAGTTGTTACAACCTCAAGTATCAAAAAATTAAGAGATTTCACTGAGCATGTCTACCACTTAAACTGACTGATTTCAAAATGACATTCTAAAGCTTTTAGATTGCTTAGCTCATATGATATCAATGAATAGGCAGAATTTAACGAATCATATAAAAAGTAAATAGATTATTCTCTGTATAGTTTTCCATGTGTTGTGTCCAGAATATGAATAAATGTCAAATCTAGGAAATGCAGGTTTATGATTATAGCACCATTATACAGATTGACTAAGAATAAAACCAAAAATTACAGCTACCTTCATGCAAAACAATATTCCAATAAATCAAGGCATATCAGAAAACTAGGTTACAGATAGTATTAACAACTGGAAATGTTCTACTTCCAACAGACGCATAATGGATTACATGTCTTATGCAAACTGACATTATGGTTCTAATTCTGCAGCTTTTAATTACATGAATAGTCTTCACACATGTAATTTCTCACTAAACTGAGTAGTGATGACTTATATGAGTAATGATTCAGACCACTCCCTCTAGGACCCAGAACTCAAATGTGTATTTATATATAAAGTTACACATACAATTAGCATATTAGATGAAGTTGCTAAGGGAGTATCATGTTTGGTGTGTCAGGTACTCCTCAGTCATTTTATATGGTATAAATAGTTAAGTATTTTCTTCTGTCTTCCTTTCTCATTTCCACCTTTTTCACTTGTTTTTCCTCCAACGTTTATGCTATTTATATACAGATTCTTCAAGATCATTAAATGAATTGCATTTGAATGTTTAATATTTTTTTTTCCTCAGGATAATTACACATGGCTATATAACCTGACGTTTACTATTCTTACAAAAACTCCATGATTTTTGAAGTCATGTTTTAGGCTATGTAATTCCTTAATGCTGTGACACATCAATGAGTTTGACTGGGTATATTCTTCCAACATCTGTGTGCAAGAGACAGACTTGACTGATCATAGACTTCAGTGATTATTTTAATGCATAGTGGAAAACGGACCAAAACAACAGACCACATATTTATACAATGATTGTGACTTCCATTTCTGTGCACTTGAATTAGAACTAGCTTTCGAAGGATTTGTTAGTTTGTTTAATTTGGTGGAGATGTTATTAGTAAGTATATGATAAATAACGTCATGCAATACAGTGTAAATAAAAGAAACTATATTGCTCAATCAAATAAAACAAAACAAAAAATCCACCTGACCCTGTGGAGGCTCAGGAAGTCAATTTCTGACACTTATGAAAACCACAGTAGGTACTCTGACAAAATTACTGGAACTGAGCAATAAACATAATTGCTTTAGCTAACTGGCCTCTGTGTGTGACAGATTTTCAAAGATGCTGTAATTTTATTTGTATTTGCCTATATGGCTTCTAGTCACATTGCTTCCAGCATGAAATGCTTGTGCTTGGCTGTATGAGAAGATGCAGAAGAGCCTTCATGCTGGTTAAATGCCACGTGACTTTTCACCTTTCCACAGGTTTAATCAGCAGTACAGCTGATTAACCTACATTTCCAACTGCATCACAGTACTGCAGCAGCAAGCTGTCAGGATGGATGGTGGAATCCAGCCTTCTGGGACCACCTTCTTCCAACAGAAAGTCCCTTGTAGTGTGAAACAGAGGGAAAAGGGTTGTCTCTTGTAAAATTGATACCAACATGCAGCAAATCAAAGTATTTTTATTCTGTATTGAGTTAATCAGAGAATGGGTGGTCAGTTCCACTCGGGGATATTTTAAAATCCTTGTCCTGCTGGATATAAGATACTACCTTCTTATAGAAATGCTACAGTTCAACGTTGTGATGCTATTATATCGTATTTAACGAAAAGCATACTTTGCTAACAAAAGATGAAAACATATTTACATACATCCATCTCCTTCCTTTTCTTGTCCTTCCCTGAACACTTGCAGATAATTTTATATGAAAGACATTCATTTCTAATCCCACTTTTATTGTATGCTTTCCATAGCAAATGCTGCTCACGTGTAGACTACTGTTTTGTCCAGATCTCTTCCTGCATTAAAAGACTTATATAATCGTATTGAGAGAAAGCACTTAGAGATCTATAATCCACTGGTCTTACTGAATGACTTTTTACATAATGAAAATCTGTGAAGGGTAAATATGTTGACTAGGAGTTCCATTAGCACTTAAATATAAGGTATTTCTGGAAAATGTACATAAACAACATAAACCTTGTAAGAGAAGGAAAAGCAAGCCCACAACCAATCCTTTCAGACTACAGAAAATAAGCATGTTTAATTTTTAATCTGAAACCTAATGACATCAGTCATTCAGCCCGTTTTAAAATAATTTACATGAAAAATATTTTCATTTTTACGTGAAGAATTTTGTAACTAATCATATTCATAATGCTGAATTTTGATGTTACATTGTTTGCAACATAAGGAGAATCACTTTAATTATGGTTTTGTGTTCATTTTGTTAGTAAACTAAAAGACAGTGTAGGGGGGGTTTTTGCTGATAGACTCGAAGTCCTGGAATAAAATTACAAATTGCTGCATTTAACAGACTCAGTTCTGATAGTTTGATACCACTGTTGATCATTGTTACTATCAATACCACAGGACTAAATTTCACACTCCTTAGGTTGCATATATCTTTTGCTAAAATAAATGCAAGCTTTGCTGGCTGAAAGGGGGCAGTTTGGATCCTAGCACGGTGAGGATCTAACACGTCAGTCTAGTCTAATATGTTCTCTACTTCTCAATTGCACAAGCCAATGGTTCTGTACTTTACTCAACAACACAGAACAAGCAGTGCTGAAGGCAACGTCAACCCCGTTATCCTAAATGCTATCGTAGCTGTTTTCTAAGGCAGAGATTTCTTGACTTTTCAGACTGCTGATTCCCTTGCGGTACAAATTAAGATATATATGATGTTCAACTTCAGGAGCTTGAGAAGGGTGCATTTATGTAAAGAAAACTGTAATGAGAGGGCTTAGTAAGTTACTTTTATTCCTGTGGTTGAAATAGGAACTTTTTGTTTAGAAGAGCTTACTGAGAAGCTGTATTGATATTCCAGTTTTTGTTTGGTTTTAATTACTGCTGCAAGCCAACCAGTAAGTTATAAGAACGTACTTTATTTTAAGTTAAATAAATAGTGACAGTAACAAGTTTGAATTATTCAAAGTGTAGAAAATACCACCCATGCACAGGCAAAACCAGTGTCATTCAAGTCAGGAATAAGATTTTAGTATAGAGTAAATTTAATGCGTGTATCCTGTGAATAAAGACAAAAGAACTGAAGTACATTGAAATTAAGCCATGACCATCTTCTCTTGTGCTGAAAACGCAGTAACATTCTCATTCACTGATCAGCATGTATTTGCATTTTCATCATGCTATTTAAATACAGAGTATTTTGAAGTTTGACTTCCCATTTTTCACTTAAAAAAATAGCATTTCCAGTCTCCTTCCAGTTGCATTCCAGTGGGGAAAAACATGAAGACAGCAAACCTACAATATCTCTTTATTTCTTAATTTAAACGAGGCATCAGTACTTTTGGGCGATGGTGGTATCATCTTGGTTTGATTTTCTGCGCTGTTGTGCCTGAACTCTGTCACATTGAGTGTACAGTTATATCAAGTGTAGGAGATTAATGGCAGGAACATTATCCATTTAGATGGTGCCAATCCTCTGTTAGAATTCTACTTAATCTTTTAATTTCAGATAGCCTAAATATAAGATGATACAGATTTTTAGGAACAAACTAACGATGAAGAAATCCGCGGCCAGCTTTGTCCTAAGATTTGAAAAGACAGTATTTTTCCAATGTCCAATCCTTTAAATACTAATTGTGTGCATATTCATAATGAAGCAAGACTTAATAGGCTACTTATATAAATTCATTGAGTCCTGTATTCAAAAATCCAAATTAAAAAAAAATGCAGTGGACTGAAAGTGTACAGTTTACCAACTCACTGAGGCTTGCTTTTGAAGATGAGATTACCTACTCTTAAGAATTCTTCTACACAACTAACCATGGATAAACAGTATACCCGCTTCAGGATACCAAGATAACGCACGCTGTAGGTGTTACCATTTACTCATCCACCAGAAACCAGACTTGCATTACTTGGGTTTTCAGAACATGTGGATAAACAATCTGATTTCAAAAGGAACATGGAGTTTTCAAGAAGCACAGAATAAGAGTCCAACTTCCTATCCACCTTCCTGTGAACTAAGTAAAAGGAGAGTGCAAAGAGAGAAAATAGCCACAAATACTTAGTGGCCAGCGGTGGCAATCCAAATATGTACATTCTCCTGCGGCTTTTGCTGTATTTTCCATAAATATGTTTACTCAATATGATTGTGAAGGACATCATCTCATTTAAATCAACACACAGCAATTACACCTTGTCTAGACAGACTGAAACAGTAGCACCGATAAATACAGGCTTGACTTTGTTAGAATGCTGCTGGGGATCTCTACTAACCTAGATTAACTACGTATAAAACACATCCGATGGAATGAGTGAAACACAATAGAAAGGAATGTGGAGTCATCTTATAAAACTGAATTCCCATGAGAATGGAGTTAGACTGGATCAATGTGCAGAACTGGCATTATCCTTCAATGTAATGATAGTCTATAGCCTTTAATTCAGGCCTTCACTTACTATTTTTCCTCACCTACATCATTCTTTTTCTCACTTACAAGTGACCAGATTCAAATTTGTCACACACTTTTTTCTTTCCAAATCCAGGTCTCTTAAATTTTAAAGAATAAACTGCTGCAATTTTTCAAAGTATCTTTAGGTCTTAACTCACAAATACTAGCTGTTCATAGAGTGCTGTCACCATAATTTTATTTAACAAGCAAGACTATTGTCTAGTAACTTCACAAGACATGCCCGATGATTGTTACTTTTTGATAATGTGTCCATAATAATCAATGCAGAATAAAACGCAATGTTACAGGGTCTTTATCTTTGCCTGTGCAGTGCCTCATACACCTATGGCACGATAAAGTATGTACCAAGCATTCTTGAACAGATAGTGTGCAGTCACAGTAACAGAAGGTGTTTCTGTAAGTTACATAAAAAATACCATATTACATGCGTCCTTTTACAAAACGTTATAGAGCTTCTCTGGAAAGTTAGGGTCTGTCCCCCCAAATTTAAATGTTCTCAATTTTATAGGGAGGCGCTGGAAAGTTTTATGCTGCTCTTGGATTGCAAGAGCAATTGCAGGATATCCAATTGGACCAATCCTCCAGGCTTCCTGTTTCCCAAATGATGAATCAGGCATGAATGAGAGATGAAACTGAGACACGTTTTTAGCTTTGTCTGGATTTCTGCAAAGAATTCAGGAGCTTGCAGGAATGTGACTGTACATACACAGGCATCAATCCCTGTCTGTCAACATGAGAGGGGATATCTTTTTGGATTATTAGAAAGGTCTGCTTTAACTCCAACATCATTTTTGTTTGCCAGCATCTATTTTCAAAAATTACTGCTTCTGCTGTGGGTAGACTCATTGCTCCTATTTTCATAATTAACTGTGAAATGCAACCTGTTTGCTTCTACAGAAAGAAAAAACATTGAACTAGTGGCAAGAATCAGCCTTTCTGCAGGGGAAGACAAAATCGTGGTAAATGTGGATGAGACCCACGAGGCTTGCTAGTGTTTTTTTGAATGTGCAACTCTCCCTTTTTTCTCTGGGGATTTGGAAAGCCATTAGTCATTCATGTATGCTCTGCCAACCCATGCAACTGGGTTCTGTAAAATCCAGTCTAAATCAACAAACAGTATTTGGTATCAAACCTTGCTTGTTCTGTTTTCTCCATCCTCCTTCACACCTTTCCCCCCCCAACCATGAACTTAGCTAAAATAGAGGTTGTTTACATTCTTTTATTGGGGTTTTCATCCTTGCCCTTCTCCTCCACTGAAATAACATTTTGTGTATTTGATTAAAAAAACCCCAATATTATTCTGTTCACTTTGTCGGACAAAACATCTGTGTTAGCCTCCAAATTTGTATTACTTTCAAATACTGTAAACAGTGACCAGCAGCAAATACCAGAGCCTATTAAAGAACAAAAAATACAGGCTTCTGAGAACAGTGATCTATTAATAGCAGACAAATCCCTGTTATAGCCAGTAGTGATAATACCCTGGTACTTCATAGTTAACCGTTACGAGTCCAGCAGATGAAGACATCCTATTCTGCAGGTTGATTTGCATCTCTTTTCTTCAAAAAGCAAGAAGAAACAAATCGTGCATTTTAGGATACTGAGAGGCAAAAGTTTTCCTTTGTTTTTTCAAGTGCTAGGTTTAAATTCTCAGCTCATCCGAGTGACCCGTTTTGAAATGACACGCTCCCAAGACAGGCTGGAGGGGGGGGTCACTCTTGGCGGAGCCTGCGCTGCCCTAGGAGAGTTTTACCACACAGACTGCCAGGACAATAGCGATAATGAGCACAGCAGAGAAAATAATCCCAGCCAGAACTTTGCTGATATCGCAGAAGGATTTATTTTCCTCCACAGAGATCATGCCAATAGAAGAAGCGCCCACGCTGATGGTGGATTTTAGTTCAGCCCCTGGGTCTTGCTTAGCCTCTACTGTCCACTGGGGGACATTGACCTTCATTTCCATCTCGTACATCATCTCTCCTACCTGGTTGATTTCATTCTCCAGGTCTTTCAAATCCACCACGTCTATATTGCGCTCAGCCTCATATTTCATGTTCTGGACGCTCATCGCCCTGGCGGCCACGCCAGACGTTCCCCCACTCATGCCCGTCTGGATCAGGTGCTTTTTGGGGACGTTTAGTGGGAACTCGTGGCCCAGCTCCAGGGCTCTCCTCATGTCGATCTCCAGGATCTCTAGGCACGTGGAGAAAATCACCCATAGCCTCTCGAACTCGGCTTTATCTTCCTTACTGACAGTTTTGTCCTTCAGGACCGTGGTGAGCTTGTTCCTGTTGGCCACCGCTAGCTCCTGGGCTTTCTGCCGGGTCTTCTTGAGCTCCTCCCGCAGGTTCTGGGAGTCCGAGGTGCCGCCGATGGTCAGCACCATGTGCCGGTAGCAGGCGGTCACCCTGCTGAGCGCGTCCAGCAGCGCTTTGCACTCCTCCTTAATCATGATCCCGGC